CCGAGGTGGAGAGATCACTCATGTCAACATCGGAACTGATGGCTTGCAGAGCCGCAGTGCGAACAGCGACCTGAGGCACAATGGCACCGCGGGAAAGGACGGCAATCTCCTCAGCAGAAATGTTGGGAGCGATGCAGCGGACCATGTCGGAGAAGCAGTCCTTGATGATCTTGTAGTGCTGGTTGTAGTTTTGCATCGAGGTGATCAACGTGGAAAGAATCTCAGCGCGTGGGGTGGCCTCGTCAGCATAGACATCGGTGTGGAAGGAAAGGAACTCGATGGCCAGAACGAGCGTGGCATCCTTATCATCGGCATTGGAACCGAAGCCACCCTTCTCGAGGACGAGGAGGATGAGTGGGAGCATGTAGATGAGTGAGATGACATCGAACGGGCGCTGTTCACCGGCGAACCTGAGACGATAGAGAGCACGAGTGATAAGATCGTCAAAAGGTTCCTCGGTAAGGTTCTCCGGGAGCGCGGAAACATTATGCGCCCTGAGGGTAGCGACACCAATGAAGGGGCGGATAGGGCCAACACGAGACGTGACGCACTCTGAGCAGGAGATGAAAGCCAGAGGACCGGTCTCACCGGTGATGAGAGTTGCACCAGCATCGATGACACTAAGGGTAGCCTTGACCGCGGGACCCATCCAGCGGCTGGCATCAGTGGGAGGACCAGTAGCGAGAGCCTTGACAATGCCAAAGCCACGCAAGAGGTTGGCCGCGACGTGCCTAACGCTCTCGCGGATCTCCGCTTCCTTCTTGAGCTGAGCATTGACTTTGGCGTTTTCTTCCGCTGTGAGCTTCTTTTGCACTCCCTTCTTCTGAGCAATCTGCTCACGAAGCTCCTCCTCCCACTTGAGGGTATGGTAGTTGGGATCATTCTTGTTGGGAACGACGTTCTGTTTCTTGGCCAGCACATCGACGAAGGCGGTTCCTTCAGGCGTACGGAAGATGGCCGCCTCGAGAGGGCCAACGGACTGAACCTCAGAGACCTTGAGGTTTTGTTGGATGAGGTCAACAATGCGAGGAGTCATGGTCTCAGGGGCGACGAAGACAAGCTCAGCAGCAGCATTGTATGCCGCCAGCCTGACAGCCTCGGACTTTTGCTCGTAGAGTGTCCTGTTGACGATCTCATCAAGCAAACGCTGCTCGTACTTCCTGGCAAGCTCACCAGGATCGGTCTCCACCTTCAAGCAGAGATCAATCCAGCTCGCTCTGGGGATGAGCTGCGACTTGGCGAGAACAAGCAGAGAGCACATTTGGGATTCGAGCTTGGTCTTGTCAGGCTCCGCACCAGCACGCTTCTGGTACTCTTCGGGCTTCAAGCAGATAGCCTTGAGGACGAGGTGAAGGTTGGAGGTTCCAGTCTTGGCCAAAGCCGCCGCACTTTCCTTGTCAGCTGCCTCGGTCGCCTCAATCCAGTGCCAAAGACCTTCGACAATGGTTTCGGTGAGGAGAGCTGATGGCCCCTCGGCCTTGGCGGAGGACTGAGCATAGAGGGTGGAAAGAGCGTCAATGGCGTCGCGGCGGACATCGGGGCCAGTGGCAGCCGAGCTGACCACGTAGATGAAAGCCTGAGCCCAGGCAACTCTCTCCGGGAGACCGACACCGTTGAGGAAAGGTGCAACAGCAGTCAAGGCGCTGGTCAGCCACTTGAGATCCTCATCGGCAAACTTGCCGTATATCCTGGGGTTGAACAGGTAGGATGGCTTGGGGTTAACGGCCAAGCTGTTCTTTTGGATGTTGGCCTTCTTGTAAACGGCCTCGAAGGTAGAGCTCTCCGCCCTCCGAATCAGCGACTCGACAGCGCAAAGAACAAGAGCGCCGGTAACAGTACCGTTCTGAGCAGCGGTCGCAGGGTTCGCGACAACCTCAGCAAAAGTAGTTCCCAGGGGAGTAACGATAGCCTCGGCAAACTTGATGAAGTTGGCTGGCAGCGTTTCTTGGCTCTCCTTGTTAAAGGCATACAGAATATCACCAGCGCGAAGGATCCAAGTGCGTCTGACAGGCAGCTTCTTTTCGCCTAGCCCCTTGACGTAGGCATCAGCAAGAGGCTTTGGTACCTCCTCGCCGGCATTCAAAAGATAGAATGCGCTGGCGTTGAGAGCAACAGTCTCGGCGCTCAAGGCTGCCTCGTTACCTTCCTTTCCTGTTACCAGAGGGAGGCCGTTGGCAATCTTGTTGGCAATACCCGTAGACACCACCAAGGCAACAAGCATCTCAGAGTGAAGCACTCTGTGGTCAGCAGATGCGAGCTTTCCGGTCTTTAGTGGGTTGAGAATCTCATCAGCCACCTTTTCAAGCAGGGCAACGTCCTTGCTCCGGGCAGCGAGGCCCTTGAAAACGGTGACAGCGCCGCTGCGAATGACGGCATTGGAAGATTTGACGTTGTTGAGCAGGGGCTTTACAAACCTTCCGTGCAGGGCAGCGGAAAGATCAAAGTCTTGTGGCAGGGCGCCGACAAGAGGAGTGATGAGGTCGTTGAGCACCACCTCAGGGGCTCTGAGCAGACCCTTCTCCAACGACGGGAAGACCTCCTTGTCGAGATCCTCCAGAGTGACGAAGCTCGAGAAGAAATCGGACAAAGCAGCAGCCTGGTGTGGGGGGACCTGTGTCCTGGAACCAACAATTTCGCGGGTATAAAAGGTAAAGTACTGGCTCTTGAGCTTCTCGATAATGGGGGCGGCTTCCTGTTTCCTGGAGCAGACACCAGCAATGACACCGAGCAGGACGGCATACTTGGCCGTAGGCTGGGTTCCCTTGGCAGCAAGGGCCTTGACAGCCTCCTCAATGACCGTTTCCCTGTCATCTCCAGCCGCCAGTTTCCTCAAGCCGCGGCGGGTAATGACAAGGGCGGACTTGCTGACGGTTCCCCTGGAAGTAGGCTGGCAGCACTTTTCCAGCACCTCCGCAAGGGACAGAGTAAGATCCTTTCCAAACTTGTCCCACAGGGGGGTACCGGCCAAGTTCTGAACCAACAGGCTGCACCATTCGACCAAGGTAAAGGCGCTGCCAGGCGCAATGGCACCCTTTTTGATTTCCTGACCGATGGCGGCGACCAGAGGCGTAAGAATTTCGGGCTCTCCGTTCTGGGCGAGCGCTACCAAGCATTTCTGGACGGCGGTACGGGAAGGGCGATCGTGGTAAAAGTCGTGGGTCCAGAAGAGAACCTTGAGGACGGCGAGAGTTGTTGGTCGGTCGAGGGCTGGCGGGAGAGAGGGCGCAAGAGCAGAGAGTTAGCCTGTTGATCTTTCACGTCTCAAGGTAGCTGGAAAGTATCTAGCTGCCAAAGGTGTAGTTCTCTCTCACCTTTTTGGGACAGCTTCTCCTCGATGGAGCGTAACTGGGAAATCCGCGCCGAGGTGGACGAGGAGGTCAGAGCAGCCTTTGCGGCTACGATATCAAAGTCGGCGGGCGCATTGCTGGGGGTGCTCGCGGCGGCGGGCGAGGCGGCGTCTTCAGACATGATGTCGGGTGGGTAGAGGTAAGTATTATTTGTCGAAGTCTCTATCGAGGCTTAACGGAACATGGTCGGGCAGCTCGGACTCGGGAGGGTAGATGAGTAGTAGCTCGTCGTCGAGGGTTGGCGCAGCGTAAACCTCTGTCTCGTCGTTTCCCTTGTGGTCGACACACACGACACAATGACCGGACCGGAGTTATGAACGAGTGTCGCTCCTCTTCTTTTGCTGGCCCGGTGTTGAAGTGGGTAGTCGGTACCTGACCAAAGAATGTAGAGGTAGGTGTGAGAAGGTGTGGTGGTGGTGATGGTAGAGGTAGGTAGGTAGAGGTCTGGAAGAGGCAGTTGGCAGAGCTCCAGTCTACAACCCACGACGTAGCGTAGAACTGAATGTTTTCCGTTGGTGGTGAGGCGGCTCCACGGGCAGTCCACCAAACAGTCTGCGATGCGATTGGGGATTCCACTTTTGCAGGTGGCCTGCCCCAGACAATATCGACCCCACTTCCACTTTGGCCATGGATTTGGTCTCAGCGGCAGAGTCCCCTGTCGTCCTTCCTTTTCAGCGAAGAGCTTTACTGAGTGCTAGAGCATTCCGTCCCGTCGCTTATTGCCACTATGCGACCTTCCTCTTTTGCCATCTTGTCTGTGCACCAAGACAACCAAACTGAACCAAGTCAACTGAACTTTCTTGTCAAACACACGCCGAGGTACTTGGACGGCACTGTCAGATTATCTCACTCCAACAAGTCGCGCTGTCTGAATGACGGACATAGCGGGGTCAGCTCTCTAAAAACTGCAGGCGGTCGATGTCTTTCTGCCCAGCCACTGTCAGTAACTGAAGCTCCCACAGTGGGCTGACGACAGCGGGACTGGGGAACAACCACTGAATGGGTTCAGGTTGTGGACAGTGACTGACTGTCATTCGTCGCTGTCACTTTTTCAATCAAGCACAGTCGGTACTTTGTGTCAAGTATCACAACAACCCAAGACGACAGCTTCAACGTCAGGTTGGGCTCACCACCTGAATACCACCCAATTACCAGATCACCACAGATTCGGGTTCAAGACTGAAGACTACATATATCAACAACCTCAGTTTCCCGAGTCACTCCAATACACCCCTCGCAAAAGCCAGGCCCTTGCGCAGAGCATCCATCGTCAAGGTAGAATAGAGAGAGGTACCTCATCCCGAACCAAGGCTGGGGCGACTCCGAGTCCCCAAAGCCGAAACAGCAAAGAACTAAAAGGAAACCTCCACTTGCCCAACTTGCCCCCCAGGGCTCCAGTTCTTCTCATGCCGTTGTCCTTCGGGCTCTCGCGCTACCTGACCCTTTCTCTCCTTGCATGGTAAAACCAACTACTATTTGGGCCATCTCTACGACTGTTGCATCTTTTACTATCGACCGGGTCCCTTCGGCTTACCACCACCGCCGCCTTTGATATCCAACTGAACTACCTCTACACAAACGCCTTTCCGTACCTACACCTGCCTACACCTTACAAGGAGACCCGAAAGAGACCATACCGAGTACGGCAGCATCATGGCTGGCAAGAAAAAGTCCAAGAAGCCCGCGGCCAACCCAGCCCGTGGTTTTGCTACCACGTCCCTTCCTTCCAAGCCGAGAGAGGCCGCCGAAGACGTTGCGCCACCAAAACCCAACAACAACAGCAACAACGATACCACCAAGAACAATGTCCAAGCATCCAAAGATGCCCCCGCGACCAACGGAACGACCGCTCCCACAGAGGCCGCCAAGGCTGCGCCAGAAAAGACCTTGAGCCCAGAAGAGTTCGAGCGCCAGCTGGAAGAGTCCGAGTTACAGTTGTTGGTCGAGAAATATGCGCCCAAGGTGCGCCGAGATGCGCTGCGCCAAAAGACCCGTCTCGAGACCGACAGACGTCTGCTACGAGGCCAGGCCGATTCCGTCAATGCGAAAAAGTGGCTGCCTCAAGACTTGATGGACCATGTCCTGGACCTGATCCAGGCCGAAAGTCGCTTTGCTGCTTCCAGTCTTACCTCCGAGGGCGCAACTAGCAGATTGCCCCCAGAGGAAGACCTCATCATCAAGCTATGGACCCTCCAACAGACCCTCGAGGGCGCCGATTTTCCACAAGAAAAGATCCAGCCCGCACTACAGTTTGCCTTGGACATTGCTCCCAATATTTCCTCCACAGTTAAGAGCGATTCCGTCTGGGGTCTCGACGAAGTGCTGGATTGGCTAGCCAGAGAATGTTCCAAGGAGGAGCTCCCTGATTACAGTGGTCGCGCAAAGAAGTCCCAGATAGGTACGTGGACACCAACACATCCGCATCCTCTCTCCTGTAATAGATCTAACAAACTTCCTGCTGCAGACACCCCCTCGGAAACACCTCTCCCGTCCGGCGCAGTCACCCCTCAACTTCCCGAGCTAGGCCCGCGCGGCAAGAAGGCCAAGAACAATCAAACCTCCCGGTCATCCCGAGCCCCTTCTCCGAAACGATCAAAGGTGGTTTTTGACGAGTACATTGAGCCCGATCAATTGCTCCCCTTTTACCTGGAAACCAAGACCAAACTGTTCGAAATCCAACGCCCCCGCCTGGACACCGCAAAGGGCAAGAAGGGCAAGGCCGAGGCAAACCCGAGTGATCCAGAAGAGGCCCTTCTGCTGGCCAAGATCGAGCGAGTCGAAAAGGATATCCTGTTTGACAAGTATGTTGCCGAGCAACAATGGAGAGACAAGAAGATCGATTTGGAAAAGGACTATGCGGCCAACAAGAAAAAGCAAGTGGAGGAGGAACAAGAGGAAACGCCTGCGTCAACCGAGGTGGACGATATTGCTGCTGAAGCGGAGCGCATGGCCGCAGAACTTCTTGCCGAGAACCCCGAGGATGATGACGAGGCTCTTGCCGGTCTGTTTGCCAGCCTTCCCGTAAATGAGGTTGATCCCACCACCGGAAAGACAAACACGGTCATGAATAATGCCGATGGTTCCAGGATTCAGATCAGGGACTTTGGAAAGTGGACTGGCGTGAGCCCCATGCGTGCGCTAGAGGAGGCTTGTCGGTCTAGGGACAATGCTGTCAAGATCTCGTATCATGTTTTGTCGGACGTTTCCTTTGCCAGCAGACATGCCGTCAAGATTCTCTGGTCCAAACCCCAGGAGATCCCCGCTCCTCCGGACTCGGACGATATCGAGGTCTTCACGGCGCCCACCCAGTTTGTGTTCAAGATGGTGTCCATCGCCACGCCAGATGCGAAGCAGTCCGAGGCATACATTGCTACTATCGCCTTGTTCCTCATCTTTAGCTCTTCAGCCAAGGAAGAAAAGGTGGCCATGAGGCTGCCTGTGGCCTGGAAGGATCTTTGGTCAGAAATGGCCGAAGCCCGGAAGAGCAAGGCTGACGAGGCAGACCGCGCGGTCGTGAAACACTTGCGCGATCTGGTTCGGAAGCGGATGGACCAGGAATTGGAGGATGGTGTCATCATTCAGGGTGCTTTCAAGGGTCGTGGCCAATCCCGGACTCAGACAGATTCGGAATCGGACCAGGAGCGGGCAAAGCGCAACGCCCAGGACCCCGAGTATTACCAGAGGATCTGGCTGCAAAAGGCCAGCACGCCTAGGTTCCAGCAAATGCTGGCGTCTCGCATGCAGCTTCCCATGTGGCAGTTCCGGCAACAGGTTGTCGACACTGTCGAGAGAGAACAGGTGGTGATCATTTGCGGAGAGACTGGTTGCGGAAAGAGTACACAGGTCCCCTCTTTCTTGCTGGAGGATCAGCTCATGAAGGGCAGAAACTGCAAGATTTACTGCACGGAACCTCGTCGTATTTCGGCCCTCTCTTTGGCCAAGAGAGTCAGCGAGGAAATTGGTGAGGGTAGAGGTGACCTGGGTACACCTCGGTCTCTGGTGGGTTATTCGATCCGTCTCGAGGCAAACACTTCGAGAGAAACTCGCCTTGTTTACGCTACCACGGGTATCGTCATGCGTATGTTGGAGGGATCTAATGACCTCAACGAGATCACCCATTTGGTTCTCGATGAAGTTCATGAACGTTCCATTGACAGTGATTTCCTCTTGATCGTTCTCAAGAAGTTGCTCGCTCGGAGAAAGGATCTCAAGGTGGTTCTCATGTCAGCCACGGTGGATGCCGAGCGCTTCTCCAACTACCTTGGCGGAGCGCCAGTTCTGAATGTTCCCGGCCGAACGTTCCCCGTCAAGGTGGCCTATCTGGAAGATGCCGTTGAATTGACGGGTTATACCCTCGATCAGCGGAATCCCGTCGCATCAAAGCTTACTGAGCTTGACGACGAGGCGGATGCCGAGGTTGATACGTCTTCCAAACCTGAGCTGATCCAGTCGCTCAGGAACTACTCTGCCAGAACTCGCAATACTCTGGCGCAAATGGACGAGTATCAGATCGACTTTGACCTGATTGTCCAGCTGATTTCTACGATTGCCACCCATCCGGATTATGTCGATTTCAGCAAAGCCATTCTGGTCTTCTTGCCCGGTATCGCTGAGATCCGGACACTCAACGACATGCTGCTCGGCGACAAAGCCTTTGCTGATCACTGGCTGGTCTACCCGTTGCATTCTACCATTGCTACTGAGGACCAGGAAGCCGCCTTCCTCGTTCCTCCTCCCGGTTTGAGGAAGATTGTCTTGGCTACCAACATTGCCGAGACGGGTATTACCATTCCCGATGTCACCTGTGTCATTGACACTGGCAAACATCGTGAGATGAGATTCGACGAACGGAGGCAACTGTCCCGACTTATTGATACCTTCATTTCGCGTGCCAACGCCAAGCAGCGTCGTGGTCGTGCCGGTCGTGTGCAGGAGGGTCTTTGCTTCCACATGTTCACCAAGCACCGCCATGACAACATCATGAGCGACCAGCAAACTCCCGAAATGCTGCGTCTTTCCCTGCAGGATCTTGCTATTCGCGTCAAGATTTGCAAGATTGGTGGTATTGAAGAGACTCTGGGCGAGGCGCTCGATCCACCTTCGGCAAAGAACATTCGTCGTGCCATTGATGCCCTTGTCGATGTTCGTGCCCTTACCGCCTCATCGGAGGAGCTCACGCCGCTCGGCATTCAGCTGGCCCGCTTACCGCTCGACGTGTTCCTGGGCAAGCTCATCCTTCTGGGCGCCATCTTCAAGTGTCTTGACATGGCCATTACCGTGGCCGCTATTCTTTCGTCCAAGTCCCCCTTCGTTGCGCCGTTTGGACAGCGTCAACAAGCCAACACCGTCCGCATGGGATTCCGCAAGGGTGACTCGGACCTTCTGACCGTTTACAACGCATACCAGTCTTGGAAGCGTGTGTGTCAGTCGTCGACCAGCGGTGGCGCCGAGTTCCAGTACTGCCGGAAGAACTTCCTCTCGCCCCAGACGCTGGCGAACATTGAGGATCTCAAGGGCCAACTTCTCGTGTCGGTTGCCGACTCTGGCTTCCTGCAGCTAACGACTCAAGAGAGACAGGTGCTTAACAGGCTTCGGTTTGGTGGAAAACGTCGGTACCAAGCCTTCTATGAGGTTCCTCAGCGGGTCAATATCAACAGCGACAATGAGTTGATTGCTCAGTCGGTAATCGCGTGGAGTTTCTACCCCAAGCTCCTGGTGAGGGATGTGCCCGGCAGCAAGGGCCTGCGCAACGTGGGCAACAACCAGAACATTAGCTTGCATCCTAGCAGTGTGAACAAGGGTCATAACGAGCTGCGGTGGTTGAGTTATTATAATATCATGCAAACCAAAGGGTACGTTGTATCCTTCTTTTTTCCTCTAGCCATCCTTATCAGATGCTAACTTATTGGACAACAGAAGCGTCTACAATGCCCACGAGACCACCGCCGTGGATCCATTCGCGGTTGCCCTCCTCTGCGGTGACGTCCGCGCCGACATGTACTCGGGCGTGCTTGTGCTCGACGGCAACCGCGCCCGCTTTGCCGTGTCCGACTGGAAGACGATGCTGGTGGTCAAGATGCTGAGGACCCGACTCAAGGAGGTGATGGCGCGCAGCTTCAAGAACCCCGGCAAGCTGCCGACGGCGCAGCATGAGCGCTGGCTGGAGGTTTGGCAGCGCGTCTTTACCATGGCTATGGAGCAGAGGGAGAAGGCGGCGGCTACGGCTTCGAGTGTTTCGGTTGCTGCTTAGACACAAGCCGCCAGCCAGGCTTGAGAGTGAGGGTTGAACGACCAGAAGCAGGGGAATCATGTTGCTGTCTTTTTGCTATCAGCTTGATTTGTCACACCAATTTTGGCAAAAGTATCTCGGATACCTACAAGTAGATGGGGTGGTCATACTAGAGCTCCGTTCCATATCATATGGTCATATGATGGTTGTTACTGTAAAGGTTACCCATAGAGGGAGATATGGGCCAAAAAGTCCAAGGCGCTTAAGGGGAAAAGTTGACTGGGATACTTTGATGGTTTCATACGGCTATATCTTGAGATGAGGAAAGCCTCGCTGGCTGAACCTGTCATGATGCAGGCAACGACGCTATAGAGCTATATCAAACCCAACTGAGCTATTAAGCTATACCTGATCCAAATGGGTTCTTGAGTTATATCAAATCAAATCAAACGAGGGAACCCCTCAAAGTTGTCATCGGCATGGAAGTACCCCTAGGGGTTAACATACGTTAACGAAGTGGCTACCCACGCACCTACCTCCACGCAACAAGCATACCAGGTGAACCAGACAGAGAAAAGTAACGCATTGCTCGAAATGATGAACCATTTTACTGATCGACGCACTCGTTACATATCTCCTCCTTTGACACTTTGTCTTGCTCTTGGGTATCGGTATCAACAAAGTCAGCCTCAATGATTGACATTGTGCAACCCTCCCTCCCTTCGTCCCTCCGTCCGTCCAGCTTGAGCTTCGAATTCCAGTCCGGTCGTACCTATCAAATCGGTATACATGGATAGGTCTTGCAAGTTGTCTATAAATAGCTCTCCATACTAGAGGTGGTCGGTAGAGGTATGTACACTATGTATCCGGCCCTCTTCTCCGTTTTTTTTTTTTTTTTTTTGAAAGGGGTGTCCGTCCAATCAGGGGTTTACTCGGTCTTGTTAACAACTACATGGCTTTGTGTGGTGTGATGTGGTGTATGATGATGATCTGTTGGGATGGTTATATGAAGTTGAGGACCTGAGGCCCGGTCCGGTTTTGTAGCTTGCAACAGAAGCAGGCAGTCTTTTTCTTTTTTCTTTTTCTTTTTCTTTTGTCGCAGCTGGGTGTGGTGCTGATGCTCGTGATGGTCATTCAGCTCGAGCTCGGATTTCAATTCTCAGAAGTGAAGCGAGGATAAAAGGAAAAGGATTCCATCAGTCACAGCCAGCCAGCCTTACGTACAACTACGAACAACACAGGTTCCAGTTCGCCACAAATATCCTAACGTAACTTTTACAGCAGGTCAAGGTATCCAAAGAAGCAGAGACATTGTGTAACCTCTCACCACGTAGATGGACACATATTCCAGTTGCACAGCAGCACATCAGAGAGAGGCGAAAAAGAGCCGACCGATGGGGGGACATGTTCGGTAGGTAGAGGTAGAGGTAGTACGATGATGTCGTCAGCCCAAGGGTTTTACGGCCTTGGTCTGGACCAGACGAGAGGCTTCAGAGCTGTGAGTGGCTGGCCTCATGGCCGAATCGATGGTGTTGATGATGGTGATGGTTAGATTGTTGTAGGATGGGGTAGGACGATGGGGTTGATCGGTTATTGTACCAGGCTGGGTGTGGTTGGTGGCCTTGTTCTTTCGACAATCATCAAGTCGGTCATTCGAGATCACCGAGATGATATTATAGTAGAGGCGGAGATTTGCCCATTTCATATGACGGCATGTTTTATTTGGATGTTTATCGGTATCGTTTCACAACAACAACAACATCATGAAGAAATTTGCCGCTTTTTCTCAGCCCCGGACTTGGCGCGCCTGTTCTAAATCTGCCGTTTGGGCGATCGAATCACGATTGAAGAAAAGGAAGCGAGCGAAGCCATTCATCCTTGACTGAACTGCCTTCGTTCTTCGTGCGACGGCAGCCGCGATGCAGCAGCCCAGATGCACCTGCGGGGCGCAGTTTCCCGGCAGTCCGCACAAATGGTAGGACGGAGTGAGCCGAGCCGTTCGTAGGTCGTCAGGCCGCCGCCGGGCCTCCAATTCGTTTTTCGAGTCTCACCAACCAGCCAGGTATCCAAATTCCTGGTTTTTCTCAGTTGCTTGCTGACCTTGACATATGTGTTTTCTCACCACACCCTCCCTCACTTTTGGCCACCGAGCTCCAGCTCCTCTAGGCCACCACATCGCTCGCACTACCGACCTAACTTCCAGTCTTACGTGCTGGAGGGCTGGACGGGTTTATGGTACGAACCAAGAACCGGGAAGCTAGAGGTGTCGTTTGGTCTATCGGGCACACCATCTTTTTTGTCATTTCAATCGAGAGACCGGTGGGATATGTACCACTGGATACCACTCTGTTGCGGGGGTCAAGCGGGATATCAACGGCCTTTTCTTCCAAATGGGGGGGCATCATGAAAAAAAAAAGATTGACAACGTCCCTTCGAGTCCTTCGAGTGGTAGTCCAGAAGTGGCGGGTGGGTGACAGCCAAGGACGAAAAGAGTGAAGCCATATCGACAATGGCTTGCTTGGGTTACAAGATGCTACTTGCCAAGATGCAGGATTGATGGTGTGCCTCTTCACCCCAATTGGGGGCACAGTGGATGATGGGATACAAAAACCATGGTCTGGTCTGCCGTCCTCCCCTCCCCGTTTTCTGAGAAGATGTTTCTTTTTCTTCCTCTTCTTCTTCTGTTACACACACCCGTATTTAATAGGAACGATTGTTTACGGTTGGGTTTGCTGTCCCACGAGAGGTTGCCAAGTTCCATCCTCTTCAACTCTTCCCCTCTTCTAACAACAACACTCCGAAGAAAATGGCGTATCAACCAGTTCGCCATCAGCGCGTAATAAGCGCAGACAGCCTGACTCCTCTCACAGCGGCCATAGAGCCTCAAGCAGGGGATGATAACCACAACAATCACCAGTCTATCCCATATGTCAACATCAACGACCTGCAAGCTGCTAATACCGGCGCCGTTCCTCAACAACCAGACCAGATACACCCGGTTCAACAGCCTCTATACGCCGACCAGCAGCAATTTTATGACTACCAATACAACAATGGCAACTACCAAAGCCCTCCGGTCCAACAAGTGCCCTTCGAAGGCCAATATCTCACCCAAGATGGCTTTTCTCCAAACAAACAACCAGCAACCTTCGCCGTCTCTCCCATGTCCGCTTCCCCAGCCTCCTGGGAGAAGGAACGAAAGCACACCAACCGACAGTCCAACGTGAGCACTTCCTCCTCCAAGTCCGACAGTAAGCTCTCAGCCATCTTTTCCAAAAACGGCACCTGGACCTACGAAACCATCAGCATGCTGGTCGCCCTGGGCGCTGTCGCCTCCATCATCGCCGTCCTAGCCACCTACGACGGCCAACCCCTTCCTTCTTGGCCTCACTGGATCACTCTCAACGCCGTCATTGCCATTCTAGCCACCGTCGCCACAGCCAGCATGAGTGTCCCGCTATCAAGCGGGCTGGGACAGCTGAAATGGATTCGCTTCAAGCAAGGCCGGGCTCCGCTAAGCGATATGGAGATCTACGACGACGCGAGCCGCGGCGCCCTCGGAGCCGTGAACATGCTCGTCCGCGCGCGGGGCGGATTCGCGGGTAGTTTTGGTGCCGTGGTGATGATCGTTGCGCTGTTTCTCAGCCCTTTTGCTCAGCAGATCGCTACTTTTCCCACACGGATGGTCGAGAACCCGTCCGGGGCAGTCAACTACCGCACCGAAACGTACGGCCTGGCCCTTCACGGCAAGGGAGAGCTCGGCCAGGCTTTTGTGCCCATCCTGCCCATCAAGGCGGCCGTGTATAAAGGTCTCTTCGCCGAGGACGGTAGGCCATGGATGGGTTTGCCCTTTCAATGTTCAACAGGCAACTGCACGTTCCCGCCTATCGAGACCTTAGGTGTATGCCACAAGTGCGTCGACATGTCCGAGTACATGACGCGGTACTGCCCTCCTGGTATTTCTAATCAAGACGACTGCGGCTGGCAATTACCCTCGGGCGCCGCCAAACTCAACTCCTCAGACCACGTCTTCGGAATGACCTCTCTTTTTCCCGGCTCTGCCACAGGCGACGCTACTTACAGCACCATCATGAAACTCATCTTTATGGGCACCGAAACCAACGCCACCGGCCCTGGCGTTCTCTCCCCCTGGGCAACACAATGTTCCCTAACCGTCTGCCTCCAAACTTTGACCTCCAACATCACCAACGGCTTCCTCCACGAATCCCATCTCGACGAGCCCATCACCAACGACACAGTCCCCTCTTTGTCCTCCCTCTCCAGCAGCATCAACGCCCTCGAGCCCTTGACCATCCAATCCCCCACCAACTCTTCCCTCACCTACTCCATGTCCATGCAATCCATCTTGGCCATGCAATCCTGGTTTTCCCGCTTATTCGCCAACGGCACTGCCAGCCGTAATCCCAACTACATCAACCAGACCATCTCCAAATTACCTTCTTTAAACTCCTCCCCCAACGTCGTGGTAAACCTAACGGTCGGCATCTCCTCGGGCGAAACCTTCTTCGACACGGACATCGTCCAGGCCTTTTACTGGAACTACTACGAATACCCCTCCCCTTCGTCCCCGCCCAAGGGTCTAGAAATGCTCATGTCCGACCTCGCCGTCGCTCTCACCTCTACTTTTCGAACCCTGACTGCCGTACCTATCAACGGCACCTCGCTTAGCTACGAAACCTTTGTGTCCGTGCGGTGGGGCTTCGTGGCGTTACCTGTCACGGCGGTGATTCTCGCGGCGGTGTTCTTGGGGTTGGCGGCCTGGGAGACCAAGAGAAGCGGGGCGAGCTTGTGGAAGACGAGCGCGCTGGCCATGTTGTTCCATGGCTTGGATGAGGATGCGAGGGAGCGGTTTGAGGATTTGAGGAGTTTGGAGGCCAAGAAGAGGGAGAGTAGGTATGTGAAGGTTAGGTTGAGTGCGGAGGAGGGGAGTTTGGATGGGAAGGGGGGCACGTTGAAGATTGAGAGGGGTGTTGAGTAGGGGTGGATGTGTTGGTCTGTGGGATGCTTTTGAGGTTTGATGAGGGAATTGAGCTTAAATATCGGGTGCTAATGGCATACATGATATGTGATTTTGAGTACTTCAGTACGGTGCTGGATTGTCTGCTTACAAGTTCCTTCCTATCCTCTGAAATACAGGAGGGTTAGTGGCATCTAAGTACCCCTGGTCACACTCACACCATGATCAGACCTATCTACACCTAGGGAACACATATCACATACCAAATATTCATCAAATACACTACTGCTTACTATACTTTGGTATCAAATAAGAGTGAATGAAGCATAGATTTTTCACAACCTCGAGATTTTCGCAAAACCATAAAGAAGAAGCACGAGACGAGTGCAAAATATGACCCCTTGTGCGAGACAATGACATCAATAAGAGAGACAAGCAGGAATAAACTTCCCCATTAGCATCTACTTTACCTTACCCTACCTTACCTGTGTTTTCGCCATCTGTCTGTTCCTGGTCTGGATGGAACTTGCCTTCCTACATCTGTAAAGTACCTACCTAGGTCCAAATCATCCATCCTATGAACATTTTCTTTTTGGAAACACAGTAATGCAAAACTGCACAGCGTCCAGCTATCCGCCTACGCATTCTTCGACAGAGACATTGTTGGTTGCCAGGTAAATGTATTGTATCAAATGTCCCGGGAAGTGGTAAAAGAAGTGCAAGGGGATTGGATATAGATATAGTGGTAGGTAGGTACCTCTACCTACGTAGGTATCATCGACAGAAAGGAGAAACCACGGAGCCGCACGAGCGCCGCTCGCAGTGTTCAATGCTCTCCCTCCCTCCCGCCCGTCTTTACCTACCTAAAGGCATCCTCCCCTCTCGGGATGATTTGTTGTCAAGTATTTTGTTTTGTTTTGCTTCGAAGCCAAAAAAAAAAAAAAAAGAGGTTGTCATCACTTACATACATACAGTATCTATCTATTCCAGATCCGTCCGTCACTTGGTTGTCATTGAGCCTCTCTTTTCTTCTTTCTTTTTTTTTTTCCTTTTAATCCCCCTTCAGTTCTCTGGGAGATCAAAAATACTTGATGGGAATTTATTAACCTAGAAGCACCTTACGTAGGTAGTTGATCCGTTTGGAACCCATCCGCCCGAGTTCGAGTTTATCAGCCAAGTTATTCCAGGCACTATACTACACTCGTCTGATACCTGTGCTATCCAGACGCTGTTCGTTCATCATGTCAATCAGCTCAGCTGTTGGGGTTCCCTCCCACGTCGGGCGGGTACGTGGCAGGCTATATGTATGCTATAACTGATAATTTTTTTCTGTCGCATTTCCGTAGTACTACGCAGGTACTGATGTCTAAGTAGGTAGTAGGTAAGTTGCGCTCTATAATAGGCGCGCCACTGTCACCTTTATATCAAGGTACCTAATCGACGAACAGCGGATTTGATAGACACCTACCTCTAGATGTATGCTCTAGCTAGACTGCTGTCGACGAGAATGATGTCTAATCCCAAACGCGTCCGGTAATGCATACCTCTTTCACCAAAAACTCATTTTCGTTAATAGAAACGGATGGATATTTATACTAAAACGCAACGACGATAAACATAGTCGATAAGAAATTTAGTAGTTGTTTATAAAAGGGAGGACCAAAAGGTTGATGTTGACGGACGATGTTGCGTTATTCGAGTCCATTGCCTGCCGGGTGCACAACCATACGTTGTGTTGTAACCGAAAACAGGCAACTTGCCTTGAGTACTTGGTACTGAGCTTTAGCTAATGTAAATAACGAAGCCCGTATAGCTCAGTGGTAGAGCGCATCACTCGTATTCCACATTTGCGATATGATGAGGTCCGCGGTTCAATCCCGCGTGGGGGCATTCAACAAACAACATCTTTTTTCCTCAAGTTTTGCTTCACGATGTTGATTGATGAACTCTCTTCTTTTTTCTTTTTTCTTTTTTCCACAGTTCATTCCCCAATATTTCTTTTGCTGCAATGTTCAGTCAGGTTTATGGAAGAAACAAGAGCTACCTACCTACGGTTAGTGCTGCCACGATAGACAACGGACACCATAAAGCTACGAATTCCAAAATTGTTCTGGTGGTAGATGTATAGCTTTGTCTTTCTATCTTGCCATCGTCCTCGTCCCGCGTGGTTGCAACATGCTGGAGGACCGAGGTTTATAAATAGCGATATCTTCGACCGCAAGTTAATTGTCTTTGGACTCAAGAACCATTCATTCTCTGGTGTTACCGACGACGTACTTCAACCCATATTTTCTTGTCTCTAGCTGCACAACACCTCCGGCAACCAACCGCACCTCGAAAGATACGGGCCTTCGTTGTGAATGACAGATCGAACGCGATTCAAACCCGAAATCCTCTTGTGCTTCGCTAATGCGCGGATTCTCATGTATAACCGTTTGCGGCTCAGAAACTTTTAGCGAACGCTTCGACATTGCGTACCCTTATCATCTCTCTTCACCACACACAACACACACAACACACATAACGTCAGCGGGAGGTAGTTTGATACGTCTGGATTTGACATCTCTTCGCCTAAGCCCATGGGTAACCCAAGATAACACACACACATCGGGCTTTTGCTTTAAAACCTGCTGCCTTCCATCCTCAAGCTCTGCTCTCTCTTTTTTTTGATTTTCTCCGAGCTGGCCGTTTCCACCAACAGGACCTCCAACGAGCCAGCCCTCGCCCCTCCAAACATGGGCCACCTTCCAACAACCTACTGACGACGAGATCATCCTCCGCAGTGGCCTGATCTTGTCGACCCACACCGCTTCGTCAATTTCGGGGTATCATGAAGTTGTGTCCAAGTGAGAGGTAAAACCGTGCCGTGAAGTGCCTACGTGAGCTGACATAAAAGTGGAGGAAACCTTCCAATTCCGAAAGTTTTGTTTTCCGTGCCGTCGCGTCTCTGTGCTGAAAGAGCATGAAGCCGATGGTGTATATATCGAGAACCGTGGACGCCGAGATTTTGACCGCTGCATTCGTTCGTAAAGGCATACATAAGCGTATTAAGAAGGGAATATAACAAGTTGGTAATGATGATGGCTAGTGCGAGAACCCGTTCACTGCAACATGGCCGTCACCGTTGATGTAAGCAACGTCATCACCGCTGATGTAAGTAACGACATCACCGTTGTTGTAAGCACCGCCATCAACGTTGATGTAAGCACCACTGTCACCGTTGGTCTGTTTGGCTTCCTAAGCAACAGGGGCAACGGGGGCAACGGGGGCAGCAGCGAGACCCTGACCGGGGTGGCCAGCGTTCAGGTCGTCCTGCTTAATCTCGCCGTTGGTGTGGGGCTTGTTGGGGCAGTCACGCGAGATGTGGCCGGTCTCGCTGCACTGGTAGCAGGTCTTGCCGGCAGTGTTGAGGGGACCGCCGTTGGGAGCGGTGCAATCGCGGGAGATGTGACCGAGCTTGCCGCAGGCATAGCACTTCATGGCCTGAGCCTGGCAGTCGCGGGCAAAGTGGTTGGGGCCACCGCACTTGTAGCAGGTAGCGGGGCGAGCACCGCCAGCAAAGCCACCACGTCCGAAACCGCCGAAGCCACCACGGCCAACGGGAGCACCGCGGGGGAGGCCAGTGGGAGGGTTAGGGCAGGCGCGCTGTGGGAAGAAAACATGGTCAGAGGGCCATACGAAGGATCACCAGAAATCAAGAGCTTCGTACCATGTAGTGACCGGGCTGGCCGCAGTTGTAGCAGCGGCTGGTAGAACCGGCACCGCTAATGCGGAGGGTAGGGCAGTCAGCCTGGACGTGGCCGAGACCCTGGCAGTGGTAGCACTGCTTGGCCTCGGTGCTACGAGGAAGAGGGCATTCGCTGGACTCGTGGTCTGCCGGTGGGAGGTTAGAGAATCGCGATATAAGGCCACCAATCAGGGACGGAGAAATGACGTACTGGGCTGCTTGCCTGTGTCACAGTGTTAGCTCAAGTCCGGAAGGCGGGACGGGAGGAGGGGTCGGGCTGTTTAACTTACAGTTGTAGCAGAGTCTGTGGGGGGAGGAGCAGGCCTCGGCGTGGTGGCCGAGCTCACCACACTTGTAGCACGCGCGACGAGAGAGGGAAGACATGGTGATGGTTGATGTATATATAGAGGATCTGCGAAGTTGTCATGTTAGAGAAGATCCGGCTGCCGTTAAAATAGTGCTGTGGCGGCATCTTGACAGGTCGCCTTTTGGTCGAGTTTCTGTGCCCCGCGCCCAGCCCTCATCATTGTACATAATAAGTCTCGCCGGAAGAAGGGTTCAAGTCCGAGCCGGCGCTGAACAGTGCACGCAGATGGTCGTGCCCAGTGTAGGTCGCACCACTGCCCGTCACGGTTCAGTTGCCGATTCGACGCCTGAACGGTTGGATGCGCTGAATTAATGCCGCCAACAGCCGAGGTAACCATAGCAGCTGCTCGAGACAATGCGAAGCAGGGAGCGCCAGCATTTCCCGGATCGCGAGGGCATCAAGCCTTGGGTAAGTAGCTCCAGTGACCTAGGCTTGCGCAACGCAATTCCCCTTGTCCGACTGTGGTTGTGGTGGCGTATAAAAGGCAGAAGTTCAAGCCTCAAGGTGCAGTCATGCTCGAATAAAAGGTGCTAGCCGATGATGCGATAATGCGCGGTAAAGTGGGGGTTGGACCGTTGTTTTGGTAAGCAGATGGTGCTCGCATGATTTGCGACAACAACCAGAGGGAGCGAGGGCAAAGCTGATTATGTGCGCATGTTTGTCGGCCAGTTTTCGTCTCTGATATGTCTTGTCGATGTTGTTGTTGTTGTTGTTGTCGTTGTCGTTGTCGTCGTCGTCGTCAACGTGCTTGACGAGCAGTACCACAAGGGAGGGCCGGGGGAAAACGGGGGACCTGAGACAGGGCAACCAGACTCCATGGCGGCAAGACTTGAGGACCAACTTGAAGGCACCACAACACACCGTGACGCCGTGTGATGGGATAGAAAAGAAAAGCAGCCTGAACTGACCTTTGATAAAAGAAGACAGATACCCAAACAAGAACTCGGAGACTCTCTCTGACAACCTGCAACAAAACTTCTTTTCAACTTCAACTTCTTCTTCAACCGGCTCACCAACTTCAACACCAAGAGAGAGAAACCCAAGAGAAAACCGGGAGCGAGCGTACCCTGTGCTGGTGATTATGGATCAAGGAGCGATGCTGGACGGAGGAAGGGAAAAGAAAGAGAAAGAGGGGGCGGAAAGCACGGAACACACAAGTATTGGAACGAGTAGGAGACGACGACTGGGCCACCCACGGCTGCCCGCTGCGTGCCCGGCTGGATCACCTCAGAAGACTGGATGGAGCCTCTCCAGCGCGTGCCTCATGCGCTCAGGATTCTTGGCCAGCCAGCAGCAGCAGTTGACGCCAGACAGGCACAGCAGACAGGGAACCTCACTCGAGACCTTTCCCAACTGAAAGAGACTTGAAAGGAACCTCTGCTTCTCCCCCCGCCCCCTCCTCCCAAGTCCCAACGTTACCTTGTGCGCGGGTTTAAGCAGAGCATGGGTCTCGTACCAGGCTAATGATGAATAGAGGCAAAGTATAGACGAGGTACCCAGATGCCCCCTGCCTCGAGTGGTGATTCGGTTTTGGGAAGGCGCCTCTCTCTCTCTGCCACAGGTTTCCCCGTATCTCCCCTCATGCTGACTATCTAAATTAACTGTCCAGGTTGGGGAAGCTGTGACGACTTGGTCCTCTCCTTCCTCTTCAGCGGGCGGCCGATGATTCGGAGAGATGAGTGGGCCCGAGTCTCGATTGATTAGGTTGTTCCGTTCGTCTTTCAGCTTGGTCCTCTGCAATTTCCCTTCTCTTTGTTGGTTGCCCGTCTCTTCCTCGAAAACTCAAGTATCGAATCCCCGTCGTCGTCTGAGGGGGATCAAGGAAACCTACAGCCATGAGTGGTCTATGACTGCAAAGCATGGACGCTCCCAAGCTCTTCCAGCACCGTACCCAAGTCATGGATCACGTCCACGGATGATAACCTAATCATGTTCCTTCGCTTCCTTTTAGAACAACAGTCACTGATAAACCACACGCTAAAGAAAAAACTCTACGAGTTTCTTGGCAGGCTCCACTTCTGCCTCTTTTCCCTTCGCTGCCCTGCTGCAGTGGTGGCCTCTCCAGTGACAGTGACTCGCTGCTGCTGCTGCTGCTCCGCGCGCACTGGCAGTTGGAGGTCCGGACCACTGCAGTCCTTGAAGGGAACTCGGAATCTGAGAGCTCCACTCGCCCGACATTCAGTCGCAGGAACATCCATGCCAAGCCCCATCCCATCACTTCGTCTCCAATTCCACTTCCTGTCGTCGCGTCGCATGGCACCGACGATGCCCTGCCCGGCCGGCGCCTGGAAGGTCTTTCCACCAGTCTAGCCACAGACAGCCAAGGGCGGGCATGAATCATACGCGCCCATTGCACGTAGGCTTCCATTTTCCCCGCCAGAGCCCATCCCACGTCTTTTTGTCGTGTTTGCTCGGATGGAGGGCTGCCATTGCCTGCGACTGGATGGCATGGACGGATGTCCCAAGAAAAGGAATCCAGCAGCACGTTGCTGATCACTTTCTTTCTTACGGATCATCTGGGCCTCGAGGCATGTCGACGACGGCAACAGCCCGATAGGAAACAACGGCTGGCGGCGGCAGGCAGTTTGCATGATCGCATCTTCTAGAACGGAAAAAGAGCTGATCCACTCATCTTCGAAAGGGAAATATCGATCTAACAGACATGTCGAGAGCAGCAAATCAGCAGTGAGCCCTTTCGAGTTTCAACAGATAGTACAGCACTGGCATCATACCCACGGCAATGTCATTTTTCCAAGTCGACTGATGATTCAAGACATTCACATGTTTTCGGAGCTTCAAGTGGAAAGTGGACGTGTTGGTGGTGTTGGGCTGGACTGACTCGAATGGAGACCAGTTTGCGACAACGACCGGCAACCATTCTCTCCCGTACGACCACCCACTCAACCCCGCTGCAGGTCCTTGGACAGCTGGGGAAACCATCCCTGCCAGTCTTGTCTGTGATACACTACCAAGCTCAGCTGTGTGGTGTAACCGACATGCAGGGCACTGCGGTCACAGGTCGATTGGTAATGAACTCTGTTTGGGAAGACACAAGCAAGGGAAACCCCACGGAAACTGTCCCCAGAGTGCGGCGATAGCACGGGATTCGAGGATCTGCTCATCAAGGCACAAAGAGTCTACATTACCAAGTGGGAAATGACTTTCAAAACATCGTCTCTTTGATTTCTCATCAACGCATCGGTTGCCACGTGAAAGAGTGGCTTCAAGCTTCGGCATCAGCTTCCGAGCTCTCGCCAGTTTCCCCGCGTTTTGGTACTTTGCCTGGTACGTACGCGCCGATTAACCTTGACGCGGAGGCCTTTGCCGGCGCGAGACTTGTATCACCGGAGGTGTTCCACGGAAGCATTACCATCAGAACATGGAACCTCAAACAAGATCCGAAGCTGCTCGAGAAGCAATCATCACCTTGGGTGCATGGCTATTGCGGTGATTCGGGACATTGTGTAGTGTACGGCCAGCTTACATAACTTGACTGGCCAATCGGCATCAACCAATCACAGACCAAGGGTATCCGATTAGTATCGTGAGCTCGTCTGTACTCTACCAACTCAAGACTCCAACAACATCGACATGAAAGATTATGTACACCTTGAAGCGAATTAATCGTTTCTCATGTTCGGTTTCAGCACCATCATACATCCAACTCTAACCTGAATCTGTCGTTTTACACCTTTCTCATGCCAACCGCCTACCAGCCCTGCCGCCGGTCGGTACATCAGTGGCCGGCGCGATGGACCGCGGTTGAGCCTCAACCACATAACTAACACCGTCATCAGAGCTGTACGACGGAGGCCGGCGGAGAGTTCCCGGATTCGGACCGTCTCTGCTGCCAGCCCTGGACCGAGCACCCTCGGAACTGGCCTCCTCGTCCGGAAGCGCGGGAGTAACAGCCCCTTCGTTGCGCATCCAGTAGATGCGGTTGGGATCGACTCGCTAGAATGACCATGTCAGCAATCTTGTTCGTGCATCTGTCTGAAAGGGGAGAGGTATGTCACACTTACCACAGACTCCCGCCACTGTCCATACTCGGGCGGTTTCGACACGGCCGTAGCACTCGGAAGGCCAGCAGCCTCCTCATCACGCGCCAGAACAACACGGATCGGCGTAGGCGGAATGGCGTATGGCCCTGAGGGGGCATGGATATCTCGTTCAGGATGGGCCAGACCGCTTTCCAAGTCTCTGCGCTTGCTGCGTCCGCCTTTGAATGCCAGCATCACGAGGCGGACGGCACTGTGCAAGAAAACAATGGCTCCCAAGACGACGACCAGGATCATGGCGATGGTAAATCCGCTGCCCTGGACCTTATGGGTGACGGAAAGGGCGAGATCTGGAAATTGTTAGTATGGTTGGACCCAAACAAAACATGATAAGGGAGAGGGGGGAGGAAACTTACAGACGATGAGCAGACAAGCCAGAATCATCCCCGAAACAATAGACCGCAGAATCAGTCTCCTTTTCGTCCGCGACCTCACCCACGGGAAACAAAACAGGAAGTGTTTCGGCGGTGGTGCTCTTCTTTTCCTGCGCCCCGAGTGTCCTCCTCCGGCAGCCGTCGTCCTCGCCGACCTCGAGTGCGATCCCGACCCGGAACCTTCATGCCTTCTCGAGCTGCTACTCTTCTTTTTCCTCCTCCTCCTTCTCCTCTCTTCATCACGCGCATGTCTATGTCTCCCCGTCGTCGTTGACCTGCCATGATCTCTCCTCGAGCGATGACCCCGACTTCGATCACCAGAGGCGGCATGTCCAGCTCCCGACCTCGACCTGCCACCACCTCCTTCTCTACGGCGCTCACTACGCTCTCCATCCCTCTCACTCCGATGCCGTCTCGCAGCTGTCCTTCTGGGTTCCGTCACTCGCACCGTCCTCCCATCTCGACTCGCCCCTCGATTCCCGCCCAGTAACCCAAACCCATACCTCGAAGCTCCCCTCGTCGCCTCTCCTCCTCCGCCTCTTCCTCCATGAGAAGAAGACCCATCCCTCGTAGGCGGCCCATTACTCCCCCTACTCCAAGTCCTCTCCACCCCAGGGACATGCAGCCTCGTACTCGGCAACTCTTGTTCCCCGATTCGAAAAGCCGGTGACTTGGGCGACACCGGGAAATTCACCTCGGTAGCGGGCGGCAAGCCATCGCCTGAATAATGACTTGATGCCGGGCGAGGTCTACCACCTCCGCCCAAAAAGCGAAAGGACATTCTAGGAAGAAAGAAGCGCGAGGAAGACCGGCGTTCGACTTCTGCCATTTCTTCTTGTTGGGGGATGGGTGGTGGAGCAGGGAAGTTCGCCGGGACGTTCCCGGGCCCCGGCGGGACGCGAAGGGCAGGGTGGATGCCTAGTTGGGCTTCGAGGTCACAGTAGAGATCATCCTGAACGTTGGTGGCCATGTTGTTGTTATTGTGGTGGGAGCGTCGGTTCAGAGTGCTACTGCTAGATGGGTATTGAGCTCGTTGCTGTCGATGTCTGGGAGAAAGCGGAGCAGTGTCGGAGTCGCGAGAAGATTGAGAAGAAACGGAGCGGACTTCTTCGTCTTCGTAGAGGTCGTCGTCGTCGTCGTCGTCTTCATATTCGTCGTCAGAAGACAAAGAGGAGACGGATTCGGGGTAGTTGTATGGTCTTTGAGTGCGGTTCTGGTTTTGGTTTTGGTGGTAGACTGCTGGGAGGGGGGCGGGTTGTCCGGTGTTGGTGTGATCGGCGGCTGTGCCGGTTGTGGCTGTGGTTGTGGTTGCGGCGGCGTTGGCGGCAGCAGGGGGAGGAGCAGGGCTGTTCCGCCGAAGACCTTGAGGGAGGAAGTTGAAGCGGTCCATGTTTTTTGAGTCCGTGGATTGGGTAAGTTGTGTGGTTGTGTCTGGCGCTGTGAAATTTGTTGCGACGGTGAATGAACTGAATTGTTTGACCTATCGTTTGGCTTGGGGAACAGTAAACATGAGTGGTGTAAGTAGGTAGGGATCGTCGCGCCGTTTAGGCTTGGTTGTTCATGATGTGATCGGTTCGTTATCGTTGTTGTAAATATGTCTTACTTCCTCGGTTTTGTTTTTCGACAAGCCTTTTCCCGCACTTGTCTCTGTCTCTGTCTCTTTCTCTCTCTCTCTCTCTCTCTCTCTGGGTATCACTGAGGTAACCAAATGTCCGGCTCCAGGCTCGAACTTTTTGTATTGCTATTCGTTGTTATCGTAGTCTTCTTCGTCGTCGTCTTCGTCGTCGTTCCGTGTTTCTTTTCCGAATTCCAGATCCGATAAAGTTGAAGGGAAGGAATGGAGGAAGATAAGAGCAAAATGGGTAAAGCGAACTGTTTCCGAAAAAAAAAAAAAAAAAGGGTCGATGTTCGGTGTCTGGCCACGAAGAATAAGGGAACGTGTTGAATGTGAATGTGGATGTGAACAGAACAACTGCGCCAGCGGAGGTGCAGAGTGTGCGACGTGAAGAGGAAGAAGAGAATGGAGAAGGAGGGAGAGAAGAAGAAGAAGAGAGGAAGAGAGAAGATGAAACGAGCAAAGGAAGAAGAAGAAGCGACCCGTGAGGAGCAGTGACTGCAGGAATCCGGGGTAGGTATAGATGGACTAAAATTGATGAACCTGAGTGACAGCTGTGAAAAACTCCTATCCTATCCTATCCTATCCTAGCCAGCTAGTGTAGGTACATAGGTTGACAGCTTGTGTGTGACCAGCTCGATGACTGACTGGATTTGCCGGTGTCGGTGGGTTGGTTACACAACGTCAAGGAAGTGTGTGCAGTGACTCGAAGAAGAGAGAAAAAAAAAAAAAAAAAAAAAAAATTCACCGAGGAAGTAGTGTAAGTGTAAGTGAGTGTGTAGGATGCCGTGGATGGTGGATGTCGACAACCAGACAACCAGACAGACAATTGACGTGGTAAACACACTAACACTAAAAATCAATCCCCTTTCCAATTTCAAACCTCGACAGCGAATGATGTGCTTTGTTTCAGGAGGGATAGAAACAACGACAACACTTCTTTTGGGTACCTATGGAGTCTCCATGTGGGCGACGGACTAGAGGGAACCGATGGATGGATATGGATGGGTTATGTATGTATGTATGTACTATGTATGGACACTAGTACAAGGCTGTGTGTGTGCTTGACATCCTATGGATGACGGGCGTTTGGGTATGACGAAACGGACGGGCCAGTCGGCCAGCCAGCCAGGGGTGGTCGATAGGGACATTACCATGCAGCAGGGATACCTACCTAAGGAATAGTATGTAAATCTTCACTCGAGGAGAGGACGCGCTGATCGAATCCATTGAATTAGGTGTTTGGGTCGAAAGCTTTTGGGGGAAAAAAGTGTGGAAGCGAATGTGACGCCTTCCACTTTCCTTGCATGGTGGCTATCATTCTCAGGGCCTCAACGACTGACAGCCCAGACGGATGGACGAGAGGGGTCAAGGGACCATAATAAAGTTTGTAGTCTATACATATCAGTTTCCGAGTCCCTGAGTTGGACCACAAGTGTTGGCTTGGGTTGCACGACAAGGTCGTAGCTGAACAAGACATATGAACCAACCAAGTATTCGGGATGGGCGTTGAGGACGGTCATTGGGCTTGCTGCTACCACTCAGAAAAAAAAAACAAAAAACCGTGATAAAATGCTGCTGCATGTACATACATCCATTACCTTGAACAATCACAGCAACACAATGAAGCAGGAACAACAGTAACACTAAAAAGCTGTACCTTACAGACAGCCTGCATCTATACGACTCACACCCACCCACCAGTTTGACATGCCTCCCCTCTTCCTAAAATGATTTGTTTCGACAGTACCAGGGGCGTATAAGCCAAGACTGCGACCGGACCAATATGGACCCCTGGAAGCGTCAGAAAGGGGTAAGTCGAGCGGCAAATGATTGGCTGGGAGCTCTTGTCCAAGTCTTTAGGGCCAAACTTCGACGGCCACTGGGCGACCGATAGTCAGGGCTGTGAGGCGTTTCAGGCGCACATTGGGGAGTGCCAAAGCTCGTTTCAGATTGGTTGATGGGCAGACTGAGGGAGCCTTGGGATACATAATTGGGTTCATAGCCTATGTATTTCGGTTGGCATCGGCGCGGGTGAACCGAGGCAGATAGATTGTCGAGCCACACGGATTGCAGTTGCAGAATGTCATGCACCCAGAGCTCGCCGCCCTCGGGTTGATAAAGGTCGACGTTGCCAGTGGACACAAATGTATCCAGTCCCTTATTGTCTGCCACGATCAAAGCCGCTCAGTTGAGCCATGTTTCCTTGCTTTTTCCAGTTCCATTCAGGCTGGGTATCTAGTTGTGTGTAAATGAATGCAACTTGTAAATAACTCCTTACGCCATGCGTCCGTCGACCTGTTCCTTTTGTGACATTATCGGGGTGCGCTGAACCACCAGCGTTGTACCCTTATCCAATTCCAGACTCTTTCTTCCCAATTCACCGGCCTCCAGCCCATGACGTCTTGCTAGCAGCAAGCTTGGAGCCGGCAATATTTTGCACGCAGCTGTACGGCTAATGAGATTCCCCGGGCCTATCGTTCCTCACTTCAGCTCGCCTAGCAGCATGGTCCTATCGGACGACGCAGAGAGAACTACAACATGGTTAGCTACTGCAGATAACAGCCAAAACGCAATGAACTTACTAAGAGGATCAGTGCCGGGAGAGAACTCGGCTACGTTGACCGTTCCCTTGTGACCCGGAAGCTTGTACAAAAGCTTGCCAGTGTCACTGCCCCAGATAACCACGGTGCCATCACCCGCGCCCACGGCAATCTTCTTGCCATCTTTGTCCCAGCTTCCCTTGATGAGGTTCTGCTCCATGCCAAGCGGCGCGCCATCAAACGTACGAATGTGCCTATCCGCAGGAGCAAACGGCCTGATATCCCATGTCCTCGCTGTCGAATCCATGGCGTACGAGAGCAGCTGTTGCGAATCTGGCGACACCCGCAATGTGGTGACAGTATCCTGATGTCCGATCATCGAGTATACGACTGCCTTCTTCCGCACATCCCAAACTTTGATGTCGTTGTCAATTCCTCCCGAGTAGATCTCGTTGCCGGCCTCCGACATGGCCACGGCGGTTATGGGGAAGTCGGTCTCGATGTAATCGGCGGCGTTCTTGGTTCGCGGATCCCAGATGCCAATCGTCCCGTCGTCGCTACCACTGATGAGCAGGTCCTCGCCGCGTCTCGAGATGTCAAGTGAGTTGACGATTTCTTCGTGTCCGACGTAGCGCCGTATCCTTGTGCCTAATGTAAGGTCCCAGCTGGCAAGGTGCATGTCGGCGGAGGCGGAAAAGAGGATCTCGGAGTCGCGCGACCATTGGAGGTCGAGGACGGCACCCTTGTGACCGTTGAGGACACCGTAGTTTTCGCAGTCGCCATAGGTTCTCCAGAGCACTGTAATAGCCAGTTGTTAGTAGCTGCCTCCAACTGTCAATGCCGACAGCTGATGTAAAGTTGGAACGTACTGATGGTACGGTCCATGGAACCAGAAGCTATAAGGTTGCCGGTAGGGTCGAACTTGGCCGCAAAGATCTCGCCCGAGTGGCCGGACAGCTCCATCACCGGAGCCTGGAGGCTGCTCGTACGGGGAGCTGTCTGGATAAGGTCACCGCTGCTGCCAGTCGCGCTGGTCCTCGTGAGGGCGCGACTCGAGCCCAGGTTGGGTCTCTTGACGAGCTGACCCCCGCTGGGGTCATCGGAAGCAGGTCTCTTTTCGGCGGACATGGTGGGTAATTTGAGATTTTGGTATTCGGGGTGATTGTAGCAGTAATCGGGATGGTAGACGACAGGCGGGTTGATGTCAGAGCAAAGCAATCGCAGTTGGCGATACCTTTACGTCAAGTGGATTTTTGATTGCCCGCTCTCCGTCGCGACGGAACTTGGCGATTTTGACTTCACGTCGGGCAATTCCCTGCTGCAACACTTGAAGCCGCTGTGAGGCTAAGCCTGATCAGGCTAGAAGGCAGAGCCAGTGGATCCACAAGGGAATGTGCGGGTGGGGCCCCAGCTCCCGCTGTCGAACCCTTGCGGTTCCCTTTGGTGCCCAGACCTAGCTCCCGTCGGCAGTGCCCTGTGGTGCCTGCCCCGGGGCAGACACATCGCTGAAGGCAATCGCCCGCGGCTTCCACTCCAGCTTCACGCAGTTCCATCGAGGTCCCCAACTCCAGTTCCATCCCGTCTTCTGTCTCGCGGTCCAATCCCACCGCCTTGTAACGACAAAAACAATCATCGCTCATCATTCTGTCTTGTCGCTACCATCGTGTCTGAAGCGCTGGCCCGCGCTCCGATTACATCCACCCTTGACCCCATTGTTTTATGAGAACGGCATAAATCATACAGAGGCTCCCCGAGCTTCTGATTCCCAGAATTCGCAATGTCGTCAGCAAGCAAAGCATCCCGTCTGGGGGAAGAGTAAGTCGGGTCCCAACCAATACCGGGCAGTGTGTTCTTGTTTGCTAACGGCCGGTTGTTACTCTACAGGATCTGGAAGTAGGATCGCCCCTGACCCCTCGGTAACAAGATGCCCTCGCAGTGCTAACTGCCAGGCAGGACGAGGATTGAAAAAGTTAACGCCGAACTAGTCGTCCTCACCTACGGAACCATAGTGGCGCAGATATGCAAGGACTTTGAGAGCGACTATGCCGAAGTCAACAAGCAGCTGGATAGAATGGGGTACAACATTGGTCTCCGTCTGATCGAGGACTACCTGGCCAAGTCCAACACAATGCGCCGGTGCTCCAACTTTCGCGAAACCGCAGAGATGATCGCCAAGGCAAGACTTCCTCGGTGCCAACATCACATTGCCTCTTGCTAACACTACCTGTCGCAGGTGGGCTTCAAGATCTTCCTCAACGTCACCCCGACAATTACAAACTGGACAGGCGACAACAAGCAGTTCTCCCTTGTTTTCGACGAGAACCCCCTTGCCGATTTTGTCGAACTGCCCGATGACGGCCGGGCTCAAGACCAGCTCTGGTTCTCAAATATCCTATGTGGTGTGCTACGCGGTGCTCTCGAGATGGTACAAATGCAAGTCGAGACCCACTTCATCAGCGACGTGCTCAGGGGCCACGATACGACCGAGATGCGCGTCACGCTCGTACGCTACATCGACGATGAACTTCCTCCCGAGGACGACTAGGAGAGCGTACAATCGAATGACCATTAGGAGTTGGTCCATGAGGATGCGAGCACCGAAGTAGCCGACACTCGCCAAGTCTCGCCCGAAAGCGTTGACACGGCCACGCCAGACGAGGTGACGGCAGAGGCTCTTTTGGCTTTCCTGACAGACATCAGCGCCAAAAAAGGCGACGGGATAGTCGAGCAGCAGGAACCAACTGGAATGACCGACGCTCAAATCCTGCCCCCACGAGAGGAGGTCTTTGAGGATGTGGAACTCGGACCACAGGAGTCTCCCATTCGGTTCCACAAATCAACCATCAAGTTGCGGCTCGGGGCTTGGAAGAGGAAAATTGAGGAATATATTCACCAATGATGGTGAGAAAAGGGTGTGTGATGATTAATAAACGAGCATATCAAGCTCTGGAAGGATGGAGTTGGGGCGTCCGTTCAGTCGCAAATCCCGAGCGAAATCAGGCAATGGCTTATAATGTTTTAGAAATGATAGCGATACATGCACCTCTTCTTCCAGGCCCAGCTCGTATCATCCATGAACAAGAGCTACAGGTACCATATCAAGCGACGCAACAATACCCAGACTAATAGTTTATAGTAAGAGCATCGTTGGCTAAATCTACGTGTTGGAACTACCGTACCATGTACAGGTGGATAACAAGGGAAAAGGGGTACGCAGAAAATGAACCACCAACCACCAACAATCAATAACCCGCCAGCTGGTTTGGAAAGTTCCATCATTGTCCTTTATTATTTCAAAGACAGTAAAGGCGTCGGTGACTGATCTTACTTCATAGCTTCGGCGTGTATCATGTCAACCATCACGTATGCAAACTCTCCGAATCTCGGTCAACGGCAGCCCCCTACGCCAGCTCTTTATCTGATAGATCTTGGCTCCTGTTCTCGGTAGTTCATTTAGGTGCGGCTCAAGTGACCGCTATGTGATGAAGAAAACCTGGTGCCGCTTCCAATTGTCGTCCAAATCACCAAGCCGGGCGCTTACTTGAAGAGGGTTCTTTTGTTTTCCTTTGGTGTATCCTCGTCACCTCCCCCCTTCCTACCACCCGCTGTTGTCTTTCGCCAGCGCCATGTCATATGACACCCTCAGGGGGAAAAGAGAGAAAAGAGAGAGAGACATCGTTAGCGCCTTGGTCTGTCACGATCACCAACATGATCAACACGATGATGGCCACACCACGTCCCCCTTTCAGTGTTGAAACACCGAGATTACCAACAAGACCATCGTCATGACAAGACACAAAACCGCTAAACAATGGAGTCAGAGTCGGTGTGCGTTCTAGCGCGCAGCTTACCAGTTTATAATGGGCTCACGCTCTTTTACTGGGCTTCTTCGGAGAAGTCAGGCTACCACGTTCGACGACCAGCTTCAACTCAAGATTGCTGCAAGACACAACGGGAGAAGGCGTACCTTGATTTGCTACCGCTACTCTATAGAAGCTACCATGGGCTGTGGAATGTCAACTGAATATCGAGAAGACGAAAAAGATGTGAGTGTTTTCTGTGCGAACGCCCCGGTCACCAGCGCGGTTTCCTCTGACTGACCTGAACCATAGCCCCTGATCTTCCGCGGCCCTCAATACGGATCCACGTGGCAGCACCAGTCCATGTACCAGCCCATATATAAGCCAGAATCCCAGCCCATCATCCCCATCCAAGAAACAGACAGCACATACAAAGTGACGCTATCTACCTACTGTAGTGCCTGTCGCCTCAAGGCTCAAGGAACCAAATGCTCCGACCAATCCAAAAAAGCATGGATGCTTGAACGGCTAGTTTCCGTATCGCCGACTGCCCTACAGCAAGCGGTAGATATCCAAGTATATGGGATGAAGGAGTTGCAGAAATACCTTAAGTACAATTCGAACAACAATCCGCGTGTTCAGCTACGAGGTGATTTCTGCGCTTACTCTGGAGATCCACAAGGACATTCAGGGCCGGAGAAGTACGTTGAAGCCGTAGTGCAAGAGGCCTTGGAAGATGAGGAAGATCGGTCGTTGAGTCCGTGCCGGTTGGTCAGAGATATGATGAGGTATGGGATTAAGTGTTTTCAGACGTGGGAGAACGAAGACGGCAGAGGCAAGGTTTTTTTTATCCAACCTAGATTGTAGTGGAGATGGACGGGTGCTTCGAATTCCAATCTATCAGTGTAGCTCTGCGTTGGACGGGAGACCAGGTAGATACGTAGGGTAGTTGAGCTGATATTTTATCCATTTTTTTTCTGGGTAGGCATGGTAACGAACTTGAAGCATATGATTTAGATGTATGATAGCAGCGGCAGAAATGAAGGCGCAGGGCCTATATTACTCTCAGGGCTTCCTGCTCACCTCGTAGCTGAGGGGTTCAGTTCCGTAGAGGTAGGTATCTTGATGGGTTTGAGAAGCACAAGAATCCCACAAGCCGTAGGGCTAATACCTCCCTGAAGGCAAGTCGCTCCCACATACCCAACTCCTGTCAACCCAATCCCCTTTTAAATACATGTGTTGACCTGATAATCTCAAGCCTAGGGTAGCTTCAAAACCGACCCCCGACTACCGGATGTCAAAGAAACCCATGTGCCGCTTCCAGTCGGAATCAAGTCGGAGCGGTTGATCTTTGTACGTACCGAAAAGTATTGCACCATGATTTCTTTGTTCTTCTCACGATAATGATCTAGCCCATCACTGAACCACAAGAAAACACAGAAACAAGACGAAGTACACGATGCAGTTGGTGCCTCCCAGCTTTTCAATCACCAACACGATACTCTAGTCACTCGCCCAGCTTTCAATATCCGTAGAAATACATATGCGCCAACACAACCAACGAAGATTTCTGACGCGGAACAGCAAAAAAGGGAACATGGGTACCTATGGCGCGCAACGTGCCCACTGGTAGAGAGCAGTCCGCTTGCTACAGATAGTTATAATGACGGGGGGTTTGGTTCGTCCTCACCAGGTTCACTCCGACGATAAAACTACAGACCTCTAGCACATCGACTACTTGTACTATTCAGTTTTGGAACTTACGGAAGCGAGAGGCTTGATGACTAGAGGTAGAGAGTTCTATAGCACAGCATCACAATGGGTAGCTGTTTCAGCACACAAGAATTTTCCCGGAAAAACTCCAAGAAGGTAGGTACGCTGCACACTTGCCTTAACTACTAAATGATGGTGGTACCAACAATCAGCTAACAGATCCTACACACCTAGGAACACGCCTTCATCAAACTACGACTCATATGCGATTTTTGTAGCATCGAGAATCCCTGCTACTGGCCCAGAATTTTTGGAGACCGGTGGATGTCCGTCGACGAGGAATACATGCGCGCGAACCCGCAAATCTTTCCTACTGTCTCCCAAAAGCAAGGAATAGTGATTGGCTTGCTCGAGCTGCATGGCTCATTCTGTCTGTGGAATGATGAGGGAACGAAGACTCTGGTAAAGTACTTGGAACTGGCGGATTTAGTACAAGTATGGGATAGACCGTCGGATAAGACTTGCGTAGGAGAGTTACGAGGGCTCATGGAAAAGCTTGCAGAGGCTAATGTCGAAGTCAAGCTCTCGCCCCCGGGGATATGAGATCCATGGTATAGAAATGCATAGTTAGGTGCCCTGTACAGACGTTTTCTTCCACAAAGAGGGTAGGTCTTGTTCAGCTGACATATACCGAGTTTCCACTCGACCAACATTCGATTAAGAGGAGATAGAGCCGGTGGACAGGATCAAATGAGGGTTCCTCGTTACACCCAACAACCCGCGAGTCAGCGCTTAAACACTAGAGATACAGTAGGTACCTAGAACATTCAAGCAAAATACCTCTACAGAGAGAAATAACCCTGGAAGTAGAAAAACGCAGATGGCGTTCCTGCAAACATCCAATCTCCAACGTCGTAGCTACAATTCGCCCGTCTTTCATCCAACATCTGTATGCGCCCAAAAACATCTGTATGCGCCCAAACTACCAACCAAGACGTTAATTCAGTGTAGGGATACAATGATCAGCAACAGTCCGTTGGCAGGTTCACTTATAATGACCTGCTGGGCTCCCCACCCGTCTACTTGAGGATACTGCGAGTCCAGCACACCTCACTCGTGGACGACTATTTCCGGCTTCGAATCCGTGCGGCGAAACACTTTGAAAGCAATCTCGTCTCGACAATCACACTACTGCCAAAGCCACAATGGGTTGTGGTACGTCAAAGCCTGTGATGAACGAGGTAGGTTAATCCCTCCCTTCCTTTTATTGTTACCTATTTAGACCCCTGTTAACATTGACTAGGCACCTCCACAGCCTGACTATTCAACGGCCGGAGAATTGACGGAGGCAAGTCCCTTCCCTCACATCATTAAGGTACCTATCTATCATCTATACATACCTGTGTAATAACATTGAGCATAGACTGCCCCTGGGGATCGTCCCTCGACCGGTTTCCCCCCTCCCCATACCCAAGCTGTTCAACTTAAATTTTCAGATGAATTGACGGAGGCAAGTCCCTTAGCTCACATCATTTTATCATTTGTACCTAGGTACACTAACATTGAGCATAGGGTGGTGCCCCTTGGAATCGTCACCCGGCCAATGTTCTACCTCCCCATCCCAACCAAGCTCTTCAGCCTAGTTTTTCAAAGAATATGACGGATGATTTATGCCTATCTGCTTAAATTTGAGCATAGAGTGCCCCCGGGGATCATCATCAACGGGAGGAATTGGCGGTAGCTCATAAAAGTAGTCAGGAGAGCAGATACTAGTCCGAGATGGAGGATACTTGATATCTGGTTGAATTTCGGCGTCCCGGGACATGTTGGTGGCGTGCAAAATTTCCATTGATGTTTGGTCATCACGGTTGGTTGTGACTAGTTGTTGGTGGTACCTGCCCTGCTCTGTTCGACATGCTGTGCCAAAGAGGGAAAGAACGCTGCGCAGACACTCGGCAATACCTTCGCCTTGTGAAGTTTCATGTGAGTGGAAGTAATACCAAGCCTGATTTCTTGAGTGAGAAACTATAGAAATAATGATTCACTCCCACATTCCCACTCAATCATGTTTTGTCGTTCTTGTCTTGCCGACAACCTCATGGTCACCAATTCAGGGGGATAATCATCAAAGGAACCCTAACCCTCTCAACCTCACCCATGCATGCCATGCGACCCCTGTTCGCCGGCTGATGAACCCTTCGGAATCATGCCGGGGCATTCAGGGTATGGGTTTAGAAATCAGCAACGATGGCGGGGTGTTTTGTCTCTCGTTTAATTCCAGTTGTGTTGACGAATGTCTCGAACCTTTGTTGCAGACTTTCGAGGTTGAAATGTCTTGGAAAAAGGCTGTCGATCTGCGGCCCTCGTCTTTTTGCTTCGGGGAAATTGTCGAAATTGACTAGGAGCGGTAAAAGTCAGTGTGTCGGGATGTGACGCGGGGTTTGGAAAATATATGACATGAAGGAGGATGTCAAGATGCGGCCGCGCCGTCGGCGGTGGTTGGTCGGCATCTCTGAGATCAATAAAAAAGAAATGAAATGCTGAACTTGATGCAATTGAAAGTGTGTCGGTCGATGGCGAGGAGTCAATCTTTTGGGAGGCATCGATTAAATCTGTAAAAGTACGTACACTTACAGAAGCCGATGTGGCCCGTGCCCCTCCCTTTGCCACGGCAGCGTCAATTGATGATCCCGTCCTTCCCGCTCTGCCGCGTCTAACGGCGTCAAGCCAGCTGCCATAGTACCCATTCCCTTCCATCTTGCCATTTCATGAACAGATTCCAACTGTGTGGATTGCGGGCTTGCGTGTTGTCGCTGGCCCGCTGGCTGGGCTGAATGAGACTGGGGCGGGAGAGGAGAACCGTTTGCTGCATGGCGCCGTAGATCATGTCATGGCGGCCATGGTAGGCTCGTCTGGTGGCTCGGCAGGGCAGTTCATCATGATAGGTGCCAGCAGTTTCACGCTTCCATGCCATTGTGGCATTGCTTGCCCCTCCAATTCTTCAAGCCTTTTGGGTAATAGGTAGGTAATCTTCCATCCCCTGAAGGCGACATGACTTGGCGTCATTTTCTGTGTATTTCATTTCAAGACATTGGGCAGGATTTCATCAAAGGGTGAAAGTGAATTTTCATACACTACTGCCAAGTCGAGGTTTTGTCGCTCCTTGGAGAAGCGATTGTAGAATTGGTTACCTTCAGTCTAGGTAGGAACGAACGCAGGGGCCGCAACGAGGCTTCCTGCGAACCGCAAGCCGCACGCAAGATCCCCAGCGCGATCCACGAAGCAAATCCACGACAACAACACACCCCCGGCTGCCCGTAGCGCGTATTGCCGTACCTACGTAGCTAATGCAAGGGACGCTGCATTTATCTGACTTGTGGCGCACCAAGACCTATGTCACTTCTGCCTGGGTAGTAAATGAAACTATGAAGAAAACGAGGCAGGATGATGATTGACAGGTGCAGCAGGTACGTGATCCGGCCGGTGTATGCTGTGTTTTGTGGGTTTGTTATTTCATCCCCAGACGGGACGGAGCAACGGTAAGGTAGCAGCATATCGGTGCTGCAACCCTGACCAGCAGATCCAGTCTGACAGCAACAACCCTGAGACCTTGGGCAACTCCCGAAGCTGTGGTCCCACCGACCAGGAAGCCGTGACAGCCCAGGGGCAGCACTAACCACTAACGGGACCCTTGGAGATTACCTGCGGCAGCGGCGCATCACGACATAGGTGACAGATTCATTGAGGGCGGCAACCTCGACGATACCTATGTACGTCTGGTACCACTTTGTTTCGATTGCACAGCTTTTGGCTACTCTGTTACGTATACTGGACTGCACGTGAGTTTCATGATGTCCTCAAAACTCGATATTGTGTTCTATTACTTTGTATGAGGTTGTACTGACGGGTTAGGGTCTGTTGAGGGTTGCTGACGGGAGGGTTGGCGCCCGTTGTTGGCGTTGCCCTGGCGTTGGATCTGCCACCCGGCAGATCGTGTTGTTAGTGGCTTAGCGCGGCGCCCAAGACCCTGTGGAGATTTGGAGCCCACAAGGCCAATGCTTATCGCGATGTCGTCTTGCAGTCCAACCTAGGGTAGGTCATATGGGTTTGCTATGTAATCAGGTACAGCTGAGCTCGGAGAAATAGTACATACACACGAAATGAATCTCGATGACCATCTGATGATCTCGAGTAATCAATGATCCATCTGACCAGTGAGTCCTTCAAGCCATTGCCTAGGAGAGGACGCAGTAGTCGGGTTCCAGTGAAGGTTCTGGCATACTACCTAGGTATGTAGTGTGTTTCTTGAATCGTCATGACTGAGGTGTTCAGCACAAAGAAACCCAGGAGACGGAAGTCGGAGATGCCCAACATCATCTCTTTGCCAACCATATTGCGCCGGATCCCTGCCAAACGTGGCATCAAAGTCTTGACGACCTTGTCCAACGCCATGGACTCTTTCACGTCGTATGCCATGTGGATGGCGACATGCTAGTCATCTCACTTGCGCATGTCAGTGCCTATTTAACTGAATACTGGTAACCATTCACCTGCTGCTCATCCTAAGCTGTTGCACAATCGCCAAAGGCCTGCCACGCGGGAGGGTATGGGTTGAGATTATGGCTGGGAGCCACACGAGAAGTCTGGGGACTCCCGGAGCTTTCGGCAAGGTATACCTGTTGGATACGAGTTGGCCTGCACCAAGTGTGTTCTGTTGGTTTGAAAACACACGACCAACGACAGCGTGACGCCCAACGTACAGACACGAAAGGGGCGAAGAATATCCGGTCGATAAAGAATGGAAAAAGAGAAGTTGACAGATTTGATCCAACTAGACATCCAACGTGAATGTCTGAGGCTCTCGGAGAGGCTCTCCTCGCTCAGATCACCGATTTGTCGCGTGGACAGATGGTTTTTCATAAAAAGTGACAGAACGACCAATTCATACCGCTATTGATTTGCCCAAAAGAATGAGTTGAAGTGAGGCTGCAACAAAAGCAATTCGCCAAGTAAAGAGTTGGCAGCTGTTAAGCCATCTTGGTGATGACTGTCATTGCAGAACGGTGGAACAAGCCAAATATCCTGAAGTAGGCAAATTGGTGGCAGATACAGGGGCGCCAAGCCGTCATTTGCTGCATAGGTGCATATTTGAGCTGCAAGAGTGCCTGAAATGCCTGATTAACGAGGCAACACCTGAGACGGTCTGAGATGTACACATGCCAAGATGGCGGATGGTGCGATTGCGTGCTCCAGACTGCGCAGGCTTGTGAAGCTCGGTCTCCCATCTCGCGGTTCCTCCATCGCCCATCACCCCCCAGGCCCGGCTCCTGGCTGCTTCCACTTCCCCCCCCCCCCCCCCCCCAAATTCCAATACGATTTGGCGTGAGCACCAAGCAAAAGAAGGCAGCGCAGTCGGCCAAAAAAAGTCCCCAAACCCCAACCCCCGTCCCCCCATCTTCCTCCCGTCCTTCCTCTCTTCTGCGTCCTACGACCGTTGAGTTTCGTGTCGGGAATCCTCCTCTTTTGCGGCACGCCACTTTGACGTCCCAATCGCCCTTGTCCCGTCCCGACCACCAGCGAGATTGAGCGGATTGGCCCACAAGAGATCCCACGGTCGCCGGCCCCGAGACCACCACCAGCGAGAGCCAGCCTGCCGCCGCCTGCGCCTGAAGAGGACCACCACGGTAGCTAGAACCACACACTGTGACTTGCCCGGACCCCCGTTCCCCATCTCCTCCTCCCATCCCTACGACTACTTTAGCATTGCACGCTTTCCTGTTGCGACGTGGACCGGATCATCATTCCCACCACCTCTCCAACTACCTACTTGCCTGGACCACCAACACCACCTTGCCTCACTCTAACCTCGACGTCCACTCCTCGCACCCAGGCGGCGACCACCTACGAACCACGACAACACACTCTTCGGACTCTACACCACGACACGACACCACATATACCGCCACATAATCTCTGGTGGGACGATTTGGCACATAATCGACCATCAACCTACCTCTACACGACCAAGGCTGTTGGATTCTCGGAAAGCGGGACGGGAGTGCACCCGCGCGCAACTAAAGCCTTGCCGTTCCCGTGAACTCAGCAGCAGCAGCAGTAGCAGCACCATCGCCACCTACCATCGCCGCCGTCGCGATATCTTTTTGAGATCCAGCCTTGCCGGGCAGAGATCTGGCTGCCTGCCTCGACCTTGCATCTCGCCTTTGACACCGAGCACCGGCCTGCGACGGGACATCGGGGATATCGCTTGTCAAACGCGCTTTCAAAAGGTACCATACATACCTACCTACGCACGCTATTGCTCAAACCTCCCCCCGGGCCGTTCTCCCATCTGGCGTGCTCGAGTGCCAGTGCGCCGGTACATCTACGGACCTGAGGCTTGCGGTAGAAGTCTACGTGCACCGAAATCCGAGCCCGTTTCGCGGCCTTGCCTCGCTTCCTTTATTTCTCTACAAAACACCCACGCCCATATTTTTAAACTCTTCAGATTCACCCAACGCCTCCTCGTCTCTGTGACCTTTTTCTCACCACGCACGCAGACACTCACCAAGAAAGGGGATCGTGCAACAGAGACCTTTCATCGCTGCACCCACGTGCATCTCCGGCCACACACACACTAATCTTCATCCCCGGAATATCTCACCGCGGTCGCCCAGCCCCCGATTCGGTCGCTGCAATTTCTCCCAGCTGCACCTCACCCGCCTTTCAGCTAGAACATACTTCTAGACTGTTTCGCTCTTCTGGCTGCCGTACTTCCTCCACGCTCTGCACAACATCCGTCTAATCGGTACCGACACGCTACTTGCTGCGCCAACAGCCCAGGCTCCCCCGCCTGTATCGAGGTACTTGACATCTCTCTTACCAGCCTGCCCCTGTCTGCCTGTCTGTCTATCTATCTATCTTCTGCCCCCCAACGCGTGCCGTGCCGTCGCTTGTCGGCGTCTCAGAGTATTTTCCTGCTGCCACCGCATCACCTTTTCGACGCCATTGACATGTTATCCGGCAATCACCTCGCCATCACTTTACCCCGATCTCAATGCACGTCCGCCGCCTGCCGGGTATAAGCGCATCGCGCAGTCGTGGCACTTGTACGCACCTGGTTGGCAAGCTGTGCCCTCCTGCGCCGAACCCTCTCCCGAATTTCCATCACAATACATGAACCTAGACACACTAACCCTTCTTCATGCTTTCAGGCTCCCGTCGTCATACACACGACCCAACTCCATTGCTTTCAACTCTTGCGAATCCCGCTTCTCGCCCGGCAGACTTGTCTGTCTGCCCGTAATAATCAGCCATGAACATGAACAACATGGGTAACATGGCGCAGATGAACGCCATGGGCGGTCCCGTCGGCGGCGCCCCTATGCCAATGATGAATAATGGCGCAATGCCCGTCCGTCCTCAGCAGCCTCCACAACCCCAACCGCAACAGCAACAACAGCAGCAGCAGCAGCAAATGCAGTTCGGGGCTGGAGCTATCGATGGCGGCCGTTCGTTGCTCGAGACCTACATTTACGACTACTTCATCCGCCAAGGCATGTACGACGTTGCCCGCACAATGCTACAAAATAACCCTCAGATCAAGACGGACAAATCTGCGAGCCCTGGTCAGAACTTGAATGGCCTGGGTGACGATCCCATGGATACCGACTCAAAGGACAACCTGGACCAAAAGCGTCCCGACGACCTACCCCCAGCTGCGATTCCGAATTCCTCGACAAGCAACAACCCCTTTCTGCTCGACTGGTTCTCACTGTTCTGGGATATGTTCAACAGCCAAAAGAGCAAGGGCCCTGCTCTTGTGAACCAATACGTGCAACACAACCAGGTAAGAACTGTCTTCTCTGATGTGGCAGCTTGTTCCCTAGCTAACAGCGACGCTAGAACCAGTCCCGCATGCGTCAGGAACAGATGCTGCGGCAAATGCGTCCTGACTATAACGCCCACGTCCAATATCAGCAGCAAATGATGAGGAACATGAATGGTATGGGCGGCATGATGAAGCCCGGCAACCAGCTGCAACGGGCAGCCATGGCGAACAGCCAAAAGTAAGTCCCGTATCCACTTTACCATGTGGTTTGTTCAAAGCTGACCCTTGTACACTTCTTAGTCCCCAAGCCATGCACATGCTTCAGGCACAGAAAGCTGCTCAAATGCAGCGAGATCCCTCGGATATGGACGGAAACCGAGTGAGGGCGGCGTCGCCAGGATCGGCAGACAACGCGCCATCCCCATCCAAGCGGCCACGTCTCGAGGGGGCCCCCTTCAACCCCAACGCGGGTGTCATGGTGCCCAATGGCAGACAGATGCAAGGCATGCCAGGCCAGCAGCAGGTAGGAGGTGGCCCCAATTCAGCACAAGCATTTTTCATCAACCAAATCCGCCCAAACTCATTAATTCCTGACCAACTCCAGGCCTTAATCAATGCCAATCCCAATCAGCTCAAAGCGTACGCCGCTAACCTCCAGCAGCACCACGGTAAACAGATGCCCACCAACCCGATGGCGAATGCTGGCGGTCCGCAAAACCAGGGCTCTCCTATGCTGCCGCAGGGACCCGATGGCCAGAACATCAACCAGTTTTACAACCAGGAAATGGGCGCCGGAAACATGCGAGCTGGACCTGGTAACGGTCAGAATGGGTCAAGTAACCACGCCCTCCAGGACTACCAGATGCAGCTGATGCTCCTGGAGCAACAAAACAAGAAGCGTCTGATGATGGCTCGACAGGAGCAGGATGGGATGCCACGACCTGAAGGCCCCAACGGTCCAGGCGGACCTGGCGGCCCGGGAGGACCTCAGGGACCGAATCCTCAAGGCTTCCAAGGCAACTCGCCACCTGGGCAGCGCAATGGAGCATCACCTAACCCTTCGGAGCAGATGAAGCGTGCCAATCAGCAAATGAACAACCCCCAGAACATGGGTTCCCCCCTTCCGGATGGCGCCCAGAACCGCAGTTCACCGAATCCCACAATCTTTATGGGCGGCAACATGGATCCCAACGGAGGACAGCCCCATTACGGCATGAACATGAACATGGGCAACCAGATGGGAGGCGGTATGCGTCCACCGAACGCACACCCAGGACAGCCCTTCAATGGCCAGATGAACCCACAGATGATGGCTGCCCAACAGCAGCGTCAAGCACAAATGCAACAGCAGGCTCAGCAGCAGGCGCAACAACAACAGCAACAAGCCCAACAAGCGCAGCAGCAACAAGCGGCTCAACAGCAGCAAAATCAAGGGGGCCCTAATATGCAATGGCAGCAGCCTGGACCCAATGGCCAGATGGTTGGTCAGCCTCCTCAAGCTCAGCAGGCTCAGGGTCCAGCGCAGCAGAGAGCTATGCCGCCACCTTCTGCTCCCCCAACGGCAGCGGCGATGACCAACGCTGCCAACTCGAGGAACGCGACGTCATCTCCTCAAGTCACCAACGCTGCTCCTCCGACCCCCAACCAG